GAGATAGATAGAGATAGATAGAGATAGATAGAGATAGATAGAGATAGATAGAGATAGATAGAGATAGATAGAGATAGATAGATAGATAGATAGATAGATAGATAGATAGATAGATAGATAGATAGATAGATAGATAGATAGATAGATACACAGGTGTATTGCATCAGGTGTAGTGCATCCTAATTTTTCTAAACATAAAAATTTTTATATGACAATATAGTATTTTGGCCTTTAGAAAAACGTTTGAGGGTATCAACTCCCAATAAATGTCATTTTGGGAAGTCTAGCCACTCATTTTTACCCAGTACTTTTACTTAAAAATACTTAAGTACATTTTATGTCAGAAATTTACTTTTGATACTTAAATACAAAATATATTAGATACTTTAAGACTTTTACTCAAGTAATATTCTTAGAGGAGACTTGAAATTTTACCAAAGTAAATTTATGGTAAGATACTTGTACTTTTACTCAAGTACCACTTTGAGGTACTTTATACAACACTGTATAAGGAACATGCATTTGTGGGATGAGAATTAGATCTGAGTATATGGGTTACACACATGGACAGTTTGCCAAATCCTCTCTGCCAGTCAGTTAATTTTGCTGCAATTGACACTTGCTTTGAGCTTCTGCTACCCCCAGGTGCTGCCAATCAAGTGACCACTATAAGAAGCATTGTTACAACAAAGAAATAATCCACCAAGCACACATTTCCTTGCTTTTTGTGCCGAGTTTATTTCTAAGATGGGTGTTGTAGATTTTACTGAATGGGCAACAGAAATGTTATAGTTGTATATAGTGACACACATGCAGACATCATCATGTGTCTCATCTCAATAAATCTGGGACAGAGTTCCATCTGAACTAAAACCAAAGGGTTCAGTCTTTATTGGAAGCTACTTTTACACGACAGGAGGACTCTAGGAACAAAGAGGACAGGAGTGTGGCAATTCTGTTTCAAATGAAGCAAGATTCACTTCAACACTGAAAMCGGCCAACCAACTCTCCCCTCTCCTGAAAATCTAGGTCACCGGATGCCTTGTCAAGGTAGGTGCTATTATGTGAGCTGTAATCATACTTTGGAACATCTAGAGCTCATCAAATCTCTTAAAAACATTTATCGCTGCTCACTTAAGATTATTTGCTTTGTCGACGCAGGCAGTGCATTTAGATCTCATTTACTGGATGATATTAGAGYCAAGTGTGAGACAAGGGAAGGTGTGCACCCAGAACAAGGAATGATTAGTTACCATAAGCAGTGCCTGCTCCTGAAGCAACTGCTGCTGAAGGATTTCTAACTGCCGCTGCTCCTCCTCTAACTTGTGTCTAATAAACTCCTGCAGGAAGATAAGGAGGCGGGGAGGAAAATGATTAAGGCAGCAATAAAAGAAATTAAACAATATGAGAGAKGGGGAGGAAGTGTGTAAGAGCTATGCAATGTCTTTTTCTAAAAGAGGGAAAACGTGATGATTCAAATCAGATACTTTGGTAATTATTTAGAAAGAAAAACATTCAAAGTTTGTTTAGCATAATTGGCATGAGCAGGGAATTAATGTGAAACAATCAACACTGCATAGACATTTTAATGAATTTATGCTGTGATGCATCAGATTTATAGATCCAGTTTGTAGCCCTAAAAGATGCTCTGATGCCAAACTGATTCTGCAGAGGACCGACTGGAAACAGAGCACGAGAGGCAGAGAGAGATCACCCACAGAAAACTCATCTCTACGTAAATACACTAATTTAGACCCTTGCTGCTATGGCAACCCACTCGTGGAATTTCACCACCAGAGCAACTTGGACACGCCCACACGAGCAGCGATTGGCTGCCGGCAGCGCTGCGCCTCCTGCGGTTGGTTACCTGCTCCCTCTCCGCCATCCTCCTGTCTTCCTCTCGTCTCATATCGTCGAGTCTCCGGTGGGGACCTTTTTCTTGCTGCCTCACCATCTCTCGCTCTTTTCTCTGTTGCTGGGAGAGAGTGGGGGACAGGAAACAGAGAAATGAGCAGAGAGCCCGGTGCTTGCGCAGAGGAATTAGCCTGCTCAGGAGTGAAATTCTCCCACGAAAAGAGAGATGGGGAAAAAAAGGCAGCAGAAAGTGCAGAGCACAGAACAAAATAAAAACATCCTATATCCTAATATTGTGTGTGTGCATGCAAACACACAGGAAGCAGGTTTTACTTTAACAAGGTTTGCTTTTTATGAAATGAAGTCTTTGCATTTGGCACCAAACACTTTTTTCTACTCAGCTGTTTGTGACATTACAGCTGGACAACAGAGAAGTGCTCCTTTACTGCAGTGTAATAAATTATTGCACCATACTTACAGCTGTAAGTGCAGCTACGTATGCTGCTTTTAAATCCYAATTATCTTCTCAAAGATTTCACAGCTGCTGACATTTTGCTGGCAGCCCACCAATTAGTCGAGCTGTGAAGGTTTGTCTTTCAAATTCCCCTTTTTTATGTCAACTCAATAACTACATGTCAGCTAGAAATCAAAGTCAGWTTCTGTGGAGAAGACTTCATGCAGAAGGTGTGTATTTCAACAATTTGTCAGATGCTACAATATTTAATGTACTTCTGTGTACACTGTATGAATCAAACGTGTGAAGAAAAAGGCTGAGCTGAGGGTGTAAATTAAAATAAACCATGAAAGGATGGGAGAATTGTATTTGACACGTGATTAAAATCTGACAATTTGTTTCTGCATGAAGCTTTTACCTGTAAATGTCAAATCGTTATCAGTCATTTCTTGGTTTTACGCTTCCTCCAGCCTGAAGTGTGAAAATAGTTTGTATAACACTACAGATTAACACATATGGCCTAAAAGATGATTTAAAACTTTAAGTACTTTTGTTAGGAGAAAAGGCCCAAAACTTGAACCAATAAWACTTTAATAATTCTCATCTGTGTTGAGAGACAGTCCATTTCACAAATATGTGACCCATCACATTAGGGCTGCAACGATTAATCGATTAATCGATCATTAAAATAATCAATGACTAATTTAATAATCGATTAATCGTTTTCTTTTTTTTTTTTTTGTTCTTTACTTTGTTTTTCTCTCCAAACTGCTTTGACACCTTCCACTGCCACATCTGCCTTTCTGTCCTTGACACACATGCACAGTGGTGGTAACTGGGGTAGGCTGTGGACGTCACAAGACATTATACAGACAGGCTCTGGTATCATGGCTACCTGACAACRGAGCTCAAAGTGTGGGATCATTTTAAGAAAATGAAAGAGAAACCTGTGCAATATCTGCAGAGCAGAACTTGCCTTCCATAGCAATTATTTTTAGTTAGCATATAGCTAAAATCTAACGATGGTTATACAATAGCAGCTGCATTCTGGCGTGATAAGCTGTATGTTTTATATTCAATTAACATATGATCTGATTAGTCGACTAATTGAAAAAATAATCGGTGATTAATCAATTATAAAAATAATAATTTGTGGCAGTTCTACATCACATAAACCAAGGATTGAATCACAAAGTGGTAAGAGAAGAAATTAGCAGCTATAGTGCATTAATTATGATGTTTGCAATAACTGCATTTTGTCAAAATATAATGAATAAATACCTGATCTTTGGGTCAAATAAATTAAATATCTAATGTTAAAGTTTTTTTTCATCTAAAAGGATTCCCCTCCTGTCAGTGCTAGTGTTTCCCAACCCTGGTCCTCAAAAGGCACACTGCCCTGCACGTTTTAGAGCTTTCCCTAGTTTGACACCTGATTCAGATGACTGCAGTTCAACAAAAACCTGTTAATCAGTTATCAATTGAAATCAGCTGTGTTGAAGCAGGGAAACATCTAAAACACGCAGGGCAGTGTGCCTTGAGGACCAGGGTTGAAAAACACTTCATATTACCAAAATAATTATTTAGTCAGAGACTTGCACCCTGTAATAGTGGAGGTAAGTGTTGTATAAATGGTTTCCAAAGTTCTACATCAGAGCTATTTAAACCGGTCTACTTTTTAATGTCAATTATTTCACCACTTGTTTTCTGCCCATGAATTAAACGTGAAAACTAGTGCAASTGACCAGTATTTAACAAATCATAAATGCTAAACACCATTAATATTTAGACATCTCGCCAAATGTGTGGCGTCATTACAAAAGCAACTACTAAAACAGTTAGGTCAGATTAAAATTTATACATTTTACTTTTCAAGTATGCAGAGTTATTTAAATTTTGAACATAAATTCACTTTTATACCTGTCGTCAGCTTCTTTTACCAAAATAAAGTAAATAATTATATCTATTTCTTATTTTAAATTATAAGACCTTGAATTAAAAGACAGTAAAAAGTTCTTAGAGTTAAGTAAAAAAAGCCTGTTTTCTTAGAGGACACCTGCTGCCAGTCTTATCTCTGTACACGAGTGACGAATGCAACAACAGGACTCGTGACGGTCAAGGTGAAGTTGTGGCTTCAACATTTGATTCAGATAAACCAGCTGCCCTGCCTATAAATCTGAACCTGACGTGGTCTAATTTGTGCATAAAGCTTGATTTCAAAAGTAAAAAAGTTGCAGTAACAGTATTTAACCTCTTCAAGTCGACGGCGCTGCTCCTTCTGCTCTTCGATGCGTTTTTGTCGGTCATGCAGCAGCTGCCTCTTGTGCTCCTCGGGGTCTCGGCGCTGAGCGGCCAGTTGGGCCTGCTGCCTCTTGTGAGCCTCTGAGCGCTCTTTGTTCTCCTGCTGCAGCCGCTGGAAGTCTCGCCTTAGGGTGGACTCACCGGGCACATTGAGGATCGAACTGACAATTAAAACAAAAAACAAATAAGTGAATGGATGAAGAATGACTTAAAAGACTTTTAAAGTGACTTATTATTCAGTACTTGAAAAGAAGCGGCTGCATTTACCTCGACTCTCTATCATCGCTACGATTTTCTTCATCGTCATCACTACCGCTGTACTCATACTCTGTCTCTTCTACAAGACAAACAGAATAAAGAGAAAACTAAATATCACAGGAAACATTTCATTTTGTGTTCAATCAAAAGTTAGCTAAAGTCACACTGATTAGATGCGGTGTCATCTTTTTTACCTTTCTCTCCCCTCTTCTTGCGTGTCCTGTCAATATGGTCTTTGAGCTGGATTCGGACCTGCCGCTCAGTGGGCTGGTCTCTGATGAAGGAATGCTTCAGCAGCTGCTCCGTGGACGGGCGGCTGTGGTACGTCTTGACGAGACAGCCTTCTATAAAGTCAATAAATTTCTTGGACCTGGGAGGAAGGGGAAGGACGATCAACTTGATGGGGGACAAACGGGAGTGACAGGAGGCATGAAAACAGCTGAGACAAATCCTGCTTATTTTCACTGATTTTGCTTGTCCAGGATTGTCTGGGTGGGTCTCAGGTTTGTAAGTAAGGACTTACATGAATCACTTATTGGTTGAAAAGTAAAATCTCAGTATATTTACGTTTTGTTTTGCAGGAAATCCTCTAAATAAGGCAAGTAGCTGTAATTAACTAATCAGTAAAATTAGGTTTGGATTAAAAAATCTAAGAAACTATAACTACACTGATCCACTGTAATCAAATCTAAACTGTTTAGGCAACACAATCACAATAAAATATTTCTAATGTCAGAAAATATATTCTAATCCAATGTGTACCTATTTTTCCTGTTTCTTAAACTGTTTTCCTACTAAACAATGTTTACACATAATGTCTGGAAGTTGTAAACTTCAAATGAGTCTGAAGTAGGAAAGGTAATAGGAGCAAAAACACAGGGTTGGACAAAGAATGCAACACATTAGTTTTAAATATCTCAGCTTCTTCACACTCATTTATGTCAGAATTAACTCAACATCAACTATTTCTTGCTAAATCAGCATTGCTTCCATTCAGTGCTGTTCTCAAATGTGTTATTTGCAATCGACGCTCTTGTTGCGCTGCAGAGAAGCTATCAGGCTGCAGATTATTGTGCCCTGTTGCAGTTTGTTTCCCCCTCCTTCCCCATAAGTGCAGATTACAATTATCTCCTGCACTGCCTTGAGTTCAAAGCAAATACATAAAAAAACAAGAAGTATTTACAGAGGCTGAACTTACATCCGTCTACATGAAAACTCAGACAGAATGAATTTGCTGCACAGTTCAAAAAGTATCTGCAAGGAAAAGCCGTTATTGAAGTAATTCAATTAAGTCTGCAGAGTGGTTGCTCATTTACCATTTCTTGGATTTAAGTTTAGGAGGGGGGTTCCTGGGAATCAGGAACAGGGCTCTCATCGGGTGCATGTCACACAGGGCTGCAGAAATAAAGATTAAGAGAGTTAAATCCTCCTCCCAATGCTGACAGCTAAAGAACAAAGTATAAGTGTATATCAGGATATATTAGACCATTTCCACTCTGTGTAGATTAAATAATCCAAGGCACCAGTTTTTATTTAGTTTGATCTTTTTTTCTTTTCTTTGCATGTTGAACAAGGTTACAGTAGATGTTGCCAAATCGTTCCCCGTGCCCCGGGCTTACTGAAGACCRGATGTAAGAGCAAAGACTGAGTCACTGTTCTCAGAGTAGGTAGCTAAACCTGATTGGTTAGCTTTGGAGTTTCACAGTAAATAGGCTTCTGGACACAGCCAACGTGACTGAGGCTGCCCAAGGCAAGGAGATTTATTTATTTTTTAATACAAGCATTTACAGGCTCGCATACCTGAAGAGACACAGACAAACTGTTAACATGAGCTTCATATGACATGTGTTCATTTCAAAGCAGGGATCGTTCACTGACATGTTGGCTCTAATCCTTTCCTGTTGGAGCAGTTAGACTGCGTCTTTTTCTTGAACCTGGTGTGAACCGTTGTTTGTTTCCTCTTGTTTAGCTCATCGGCTCTGCAGACGATTTAAAGCTCAGTGTTTATTTAGCTTTAATGCATCAAACTGAGAAGCAGGAGAGTTAAATTTAATGACTGAAAACTGAATTCTCAAGTGGGGCTAAAAAAAGATTAATAATTCATACGTTTAAAAATAAGTCCGAAATCAACACTTAACCCCGTGATTCATCTCTCGAAACACTGACGTTCATTAAGCTCAACTTTGTGATTATAGGAATGAGTCTCAAATATTGTWTTATATTGTATCATGTAACTGACAAACATTTTACACAAACGCAGAACAACTTCTGTCATTATTATGCTGTTAATAAAGAGCAGACAATTGGAAGAAAAGATTTGAGCCACAAGTATTGTCCACACTTTGAGGTAAAGAAAACTAAGGTAAAATATATCCATATATTGTTCTGTCAGTGGTTGTTTTGTTTGGCAACATTTAGGATGAGAACTAAGTAATAAATGAATACAGCTGGCTTTAAATACTGTGTTTTGATTGATCGACTGACAAATGAATCAGCACTACTACCAGAAACAAATCTAAAAAAGAGGAATTAGTTCTTTCTATAATCTCCTTCAGTCATCAGATGGAGTGAGTAAGAACACCCTGCATAATTTATAAGACCAACACCAGCTCGACAGTCGGCCTGTAAACCCTGCTGAATGTCACTGACAGCAGCAGTCTGAAGATACTTCAATCGTGTGAAAAACACCTTCAAAATGTTCAATTTATTCAGGTGGCCGTGATCAAAATTTATCTTTCAGCAAAAAGCAAAACTTCAATTAATCACAACCGGACCAGACAAATATTTATCTCTAAAGACACTTTCCAACCAGAGACATACACACATTAAAACACTAAATATTTTTACCATTTACCAAAACGTGGGAGTCCAGTAAAATAAATTTAAAAACAAGCCTGAGCTTGATTTGGAAAAGAATTTACATTTGTGGAACTCCATGTGCATCAAATATGATTAGAAAATTTCTTTAATATCTTTTAAAAAAGACTATTTGGTTGTTAATAAGGAAGATAAGAGTTGGATTAGATTCCAAATGTGTTGCTTGTAGTTGGAGGACGATGCTAAAAATAAAATGCTGTCAAGGAAGAATTAAAAAAAAGCAAAAACTAGTTAAAAAAACTCTGCAGAAGATAAATGTATAAATATTTTTTGATGCAAAAATAAGATTTCATAAAAGAAAATGTAGGAAGATCACATAAAAAGGTGCAAACTATTCATAATCCACAAGAGAAGAAACTTCAGCCAAAGCTTTACAAAACAAACAGGGATCACAAAACACAAGAGTGAGAAAATCCCAGGAGCTATTTGAGGCTATGAATAAAAAAAAATCTGATAGTCAATTTCATGATCTCCATCTGACAGAGCTACAGTCCACCTGCAGAAGCTAAAATCACAAAAGGCAGAAAAATCGRCATAAGTTTGGAAAAAAACACAACTAAGAATCTCCTAAAAAAGTAAAATATCTGCTTTTTTCAACTTTGCTCTGAGCTGCTAAACTAAGAACCTGTGTGCAAAAGTGTTAGCATTACCTAAATATTTAAGATTTTAAGCTTGTTCTTCAAATAAATTTTATTTTCTTAATTTCTAAACCTCTGTGGTGGCCCACAAAGGCCAAAATTAGGGTACTGACAAGTTTAGCGTTCCATTGCTTTGATTTACAAATTAGCTGTGATGTCAACAAAAACCAGATTTTAAAGAGATTTAAGGTGGACAACATTCAAACTGCCCACATGCATCAGTTTAAAAAGCAACTATTGATTAAACATATTGAGACACATTAGAGACAATAAGCTGCCAGTATTAAGCCTCTTTTTACTCAGACATTCTCTGCAGAACTTTTACAAACGGGTCAACAGATTTTCATCGATTCTTTGGAWTTGCAGCAAATCTCCAGGCAGACAGCTCTCCCCACGAACCAGAGAGAAATTGGTGCAACCAGCCTCCACAGGCCAACCGCCGGCTCACAACTACACTATCTTAATTACAGTGACTCAGCCGTCCATCTGAAGACAGACAAGGCTGCACAAACAAACACTCATTCATTACGTTCTTAGGACTGATGATGGGAAATCATCCATTTGTGAGTGGTCAGAAGTGTATAATCAAACATCAGACAGCAWGCAGGAGGACGTAGACACTTACGAGGTGCTCCCTCTGCCATCTCTATCGCCGTTATTCCCAAAGACCAAATATCGCTCTGTAAAACAGAACAGTTTCAGTCTTCTGTTCTCTCAGGATTGAGCGCACACACCCAGAAGGTCGCAGTTACCCTGAAGTCATAGGTGGAGTCTGGGTTCTCATCACAGGCAATGACCTCAGGTGCCATCCAGTAAGGAGTACCGATGAAGGTGTTCCTGCGTCCGACAGTCCGGTCCAACTGAGCGCTCACACCGAAATCAACTGCAGGGGAAAAAAGGATCAGCGAAAGAAAGAGAGTGAAACGCAGAAAACAGGTCAGATAAACTACTCAGCATTCTGTTTCAGCGTACCGAGCTTGACCTCTGCATTCTCCGTTAGCAGCACGTTCTGGCCTTTGATGTCTCGGTGGATGACTTTATGGGCGTGAAGGTGAGAAAGGCCCTGTTCACAGACAAACAAGTCAGCTCTGGTCAGTGAGCAGCGAGCTCAGAGTAATTGATCTGACGGGTGCGACTGCGATTTCCCACCCTTAGGATCTCCCTGCAGATGTAAGCAATCCAGTCCTCCTTCAGAGAGCTGCCTTTAGTGTTTTTCACCAGGTCTGTCACCGATCCCGCGCCGCAGAACTCCATCACCAGCTGTGTGCAGACCAGCACAAACTCAGTGAGCGTGATTAATKAGGAACGTTTCTGTAATGGACCAAACCAAGCTGTGAACAGACCCAAAGCTGGTCATCGTGTCCTGGTGGACTCTTCTTGACAAAGGCGCCATAGTACGTGGCTATGTTGCGGTGGTGGCTGTACTTCTTCAGCATGTTGATCTCTGCTTTGATCTCCTCCTCCTCCTCCTCTGTGACATCCATCACTTTGATGGCAGCCAGTTGGCCTGTCTTCACGTGACGGCCCTGATTAAGGAACAAAGTTGGATCTTTGTAACAGCATTAACCAACATCTAATATAAAAGTTGAATTCTGTTTCTAAAAGTCTTAAGTCTTTACTAATTAGCTGTGGCTAATTGCCCTCTTACACTTTTTTGTTCTTCTGCTACATTACATTCTTCTTTCAGTCACCACTGCCTAAATCCTATTATCCAGATTGTTGAAATATCCGACAATAAGCTAAAGCTTATTTAGTCTGAGAAATAAATGGACAAAACTTAACAGAAAACAGACATTGAAGCAGGCTTTGTGCACACATTCCAGCTTCTTATAAAAAGAGGTTCTGAAAATATCCCAACACAGAACTTAGGACTGAGCTGGATGTAATGTAGACATCATGGCTCACCTTGTAAACCTGCCCGTATGTCCCATTGCCAACGACCTCGACCAGCTCGAAGATCCCTGCTGGATCCTGAGAAGAAAGATTTATTTCTCATTTAACAAACAGAGCTTCAGAACTTCAAAAATAAAATCCAGATTAAACTAATTACAAACAGATCTCAAAACTGTCATAGTCAACTCTGCTTTTAAAAAAGTTCAAATTAATACTATTAAACTCAAAGCTGTTTATTTATAATTTTAAGTGGGTGATCCTCGCTTAGTTTAGCTCCAAATTTGCCATATTTACACTTTTGTGCCAACCTGAAGTGGAGGTTGTGTGTCTTGTTGTTACTTTTAAGTTTCTCCAGTTAGAAAGTCACCCTCAAACAGTAAAATACCTGCTTTTAAAAGTGCTGCAATCTGGCTACATTTTGTTCTTACAAAGAGTTTTAACAATCCTGAAGACAAAAAAGAAAAACTACCAAAAAAGGAAATAAAAAGGCAAGTCTAAAGACACTTGGTTTACAATTCCAGTTTAATAAACCTATGCTTTGTTTAATATTTTACATTTATTGCAGCATATTCCTTGACATCTGGGCCATACATACAAAGTATCATCTTGTGTAATAGTTGTTCATTTGTTTGCATCTAAATTATGTCTTTGAATCCATAGTTTAAAGGTGGACGAGCTAGTTTTGTTTTCCATTATGGATGCAGCTCTACACTGACATCATCTACATAGAGAAGTGTTAAGTAATGTCAGCAATCTAAAGTTTTTACCACTCAATCAAAACAGAGGCTGTGGATGACACCCAAGGTCATCCTTCTTTCTGACCCAAAGAAAGAGTGAAGTTAGCAGTTAGCAAAATGGCACACAGAACAAAACATAAATACAACAACTTGAGATAAATYCAAGGACAAACTGCGATTCCAGAGACAGGAGGCGCATGTGGCAGGGAACTCAGGCCATAACAAACTAAAGTAACATCAAGTCCCTGTCAGGCTGGATTTTATCGCTGGTTTGAAGCTCTGAAGAGCATACTGGGAGTGACAGTGTCTTTTATAACTTAGTTAAAGCAATATTTCAAATAATTTAATGTGGGGTTTTATGGAAAAGTAGTGAAATATTGTATTGGGTCTTTGAACAGCCTCAGCTTGGAGAAATATARTTTAATTCTAACTGGAATGATGAGCTAATGGCTAATACTAGAGAGGCCAAACACAAAAGTGAACTGCTGTCATGTGTAAAAAACTTCAGTCATAAATTTCTTCTAGTGATTTATAGGAATGTTATTTTGAAAGTCTTTATATGTTCATTTGTATTTATTGTAAAACAACCCTCATTTTCAAAATGGAGGTCTTTCAGAAAGCTATCTGCAGCAGGTGAGATATTATTTGTTCATTACCATACCTCAGAACACCACTTCAAAAGATATAAATAACTATGGTCGGTCAGGAATCTTTTTTTCCCACTTATTGGGTGCAGTCCTTGTGCAAGACATGTTTGATGAGGTCACATGTAAACGTTTAACAGAGAGCRTCCTGACAAGTTGCATTAAATCTTGGTGCGGCAACTGCTGTGTGACTGACAGTTTGTGCAACATCCATCAGGGTCGCACTCCCCTCTCTGGAGACTATTTTCAGAGGGATGCAAAAACAAAGCACTCATTGTAAGAAATGCCTCTAATCCCTCATATTATGTTTAACTTGTGCTGCATTAAAATAAAAGTGCAACAACTTCATTTCTTAGGTAATAAGRCTTCTAATTCAGGGCAACACTGATTTAGATTTTAATCATTTTAAACTTTTACAGCCAACATTTTATGTACAAATACTGCAGGTTTGTTTGCTAGTTATTTTAGTATGTTTAAATTATTTTTGAATAAATATTTATTTTTTAACTTGGGACAGTTTCGCAATGTTTTCCACTGTTTCTGCTTGTTTTTTTGTTAAGATTTGACGCACTAACATCATTGTTTTCTGAAAATGGCTGAAATGATCACGTGAATTTCAGTTTGACCTACAGACACTTTTGCAAACGTGGTCATAAAACTTCAAAACTAGATTAATAACCCAAAAAAGGTTTTCATTATCCAAATTATTTCAAACTACTTGTATAGCCAATATTTTATGTCCATACAGATAATCTAAAGTTAATTTTTCACCCACAAGGCTCGACACAAAGACAACTTTATACACTAAATATTTATATATGATACATAAATACAGATTCTAACCAGATTCTTGGATAAAAGTCCAGTAACTCGCTTGATTTTATGTTCCAGTAGCTGTGAACACATTTCACTGACACCAATAATGAGTAGGTTGCTTTGACTAAATTATGCAACCCCCCTCCCTCCAGAAATGCAGGAAAATGACAAGCATTTCCACTTTCATGTAATTTCAATATGGCTTTAAGATTGTGTGTGGGTGGTGAGACTGCTGCCTTGGGTTTAAAATGTACACCGTGACCTATCCGGCTTTCATCTATATCYAATCATCAGTTTTCAGCCTTCAAAATAAAAGATTTCCCTTCAGGAGGACAATGAAAAAAAAATAAGTTTAGAGAAATGATCGGGCATTTGATGCAAATGAAGATACGTCATCTGATGACATGAACACGCTGCACAGATTTTAAGCATGTTATGTATAAAGAGAGACAAAAGGATGACGAGTGTGATGGTATGGAAGGAAATAATGTAACGATTGAGTGGGCGTTGAGGCAGAGGCGGCAGCTTCACCCACATCCAGCACAGAGAGTGGGATGAGAGGAACGCGCTGAAACAAGGGGAAGGGTACAGCTCTAGTCGARGCACACATTCAGATAAACAATGTCGAACAATTGCAAGAACACAGCCGGCTGACAGGGAGAGAAACCTKCAGTTAGTCTATTTAAACAGAAAACAAGGCAAATGTAAGATATATTATGTCTGTGTGTAATCTCAGTACAATGGAAAACAAAAACAAACACTGACAGACACCACAGTTATTCTATCAAATGTTACATTCTGATAAAAATGTCATCAGTTTAACAGTGAAGGTCTGAGGGGAAGTAAACATTTCCTGCAAGGGTGCTAACTTTGCTGAAACAGGAAGTCATTCAGGAAAAGTAGAAAAAAAAGATGTCCAATCTGTGGTTACACACCTGCAGCCAGCAATCAACAAAAATCGCAATTCAAACCTCAGAATTGCAACAGATTATTGTTCCCACTTTTAAAAACAATTTTTTAAATTCCACATTTCTGAAGTCATATATTCAATACAGGAAGTAATATTACTAAATCTAGCCAATCTGCATTCAGTACACGTGTCAAGTTTTTTTTCCTTCTGCTTTTACAATAAAAGCTTAACAGTCCCACATCTTTTAATAACGTCACAGCAACTCATGCTTGTGTTGGATTATTTTAGCCAAACACAAGTGAATTCTGTTTGAAATCACATGATTACATTTCTCACGGGGTTTCATTTCCAGAGAGTTGGTGTTTTTTGCTGATCAGCATCCAGCGGTATCATCACATCCTCAAAATGATTTCTGCCTAAATATGATAACAGAACATAAAAGTCCACATTCAACAACAAAGCAGATGACATTAAAGTGATGTTTATTTTATCATATTAATCCCATTTCTTAAGATGTAACCAACAGTGTAATAAACACCATTCTCCAGAAGACTGTTTGATTCACTGCTTTTGGCATCATGATTAAGGTTTATGATTTTGTTGAAGCCTGTGTGAAGTTGACATTATGTAAAGTTCACATTTATTCCAATATCTGTTGAAATGTGCAATAATAAAGTCAATGTTATTTTCCTCTGTAGAGATTTAAAATGGAAACTATTTTTTAGTGTCACCGTTTTCTTAATTATGTTAAAAAAGGCATGACATGCATGAAGATGCTGCAGTAAATTGTTGTTTCAATTATGTTGGATGTATTCTAATATCAAAAAGGTGACAGCAACATCCAGTGTGTTGCAAAACACTAMCAAAACAACAGCTGAATACTAGATCACATATGGATGCTGACTTTCATTATAATCATTTGTGCAGATGTTTTACAAGAGATGGTACAAAAATAAATACATTTCTATAAAAAGGAGGTACAGATTTTGTTAGAGAGCGATAATCTGAAAAAACTAACTTCTGTCTTTAATAAAACTCTAAACGGCACGCTTAAACGGTCAATTTCCAAAAATCACAAGAACACTTTCACACCTATCTCTTGTGGGTGATGGCCAAGAAGATTGTGGTGGAGGGGAAAAAAATAAACTCAACAATAAAATGAAAGCAAACAGAATAGAATCTGTTCAAACAATCATTTTACTTTAGATAAACAAGTATAAACAAGGTATACAGATACTAACACCAAACCAATTAATTAGTAGACTGGATTAAATGGAACGCACAACTAAAATTAAACCAAACCTAAATAATTCTCAGATTTGAGACATAGTGAACTTTTCACTATTTCCTCTATGTGCTCAGGGCCCTGTTCTACAGAGCATAATGTCACTCAGAGGATTGTGATGTAAATGAGACTAAGTGTGCTGAGACTTTAAAAATTAGGAGGGATGAAAACAACAAAATAAACACTTTAGGCTACTGATTTCTGATGCTACACAAGAACAGGGACCCTGAGATCATGRTTGTCAAACTGTGATACAAGCACCATTTACTTGTAAAAGTTCAGGTGTTTATATCAAAACATTTTTTTCCAAGTTATATATCAGGATGGCACACTTGCATTGTCACCTCTCAGAAAGAAAGTTTCCGATTCAACTCCCTCGACGGGGTCTTTTTTGGGTGGTGTGTGTGTCTGTTCTTCACTGTGCGCCTGTGGGTTTTCTCACGGTACTCTGGTTTCTTTCCATAGACTAAACACACAACGTGTAGGACCACCGGCCTAACGTGTCGACGCCCTCTTCTAAAATCCTACCTAAGCCTGGTSTCAAATTTATAAACATTGTGCATTTACTTTTTCACCAATGATTTCCAAATACATTTTTTGTGCTGCATCCATTTCTCCTCCTTTAGGACAATTGAATAAACACAGAAATGGTCATAACAATACAATACTGTATAACTACATGAAACTCATTTTTTAACTCCAAGCATCCAAAAAGGTTGACAGGGAAGTCTGTCTAGCCTCAAATTTACAGCTAGTCTTATGATGAAGAGACATGTCAAGAGGAAGTATCAGAATAGTAAGCAGCACGGCTCGTTTATTCTTTGAAAGGTTTMCTGTCTAGCATAGGAAAGGGTCCAAAAGGCCAAGTAAATTCCTCAATGAAAGATAAATACACCTTTTTTTTGCTATATTCTCAATAAAGTCTGACAACATCAATACCAACACAACTGAAGAACCTYATCTAAAACATGTAGGATTGTCAATAAGAGCTTTTAAAGTCATGTCACGAGCAATAATTAACCCATTCATATCTCATCACATGCGTGTGTCAAATTCAAGGTCTGCAGGCCAAATCTGGCCCCAAAGAGGATATTTTAAAGGTACAATAGTTTTCTCTTTTTTGTCTAAAAAGTAAGCTCATTGCACTTAGTGAAATCTTCTCATAACAGTTGGACAACTTTACAAATAATAATAATAAGCTGGAATTGTTTAGTAGTTTTTGGTTTTGTTGTGGAAAGAGCAACAAAAAACACCAAACCAGACAGATCAAACTCCTGTTTATGAACTAGCAGCCAAGAAAAGATGTCAGGTAACCTAGCTGAGAAAAATGCTCAGCTTTACACCTCTGTTTTTTGCATTTTTTTATTTCAAAGTCTTACAATAAAAAAATCCCTGGAAGATTTTCTTTTTAAAATGCACCACTAAAAAAAATAAAAGAAAATGGTGAAAAATAAGACATGAATGCAAATGCGCTTTCTAAATTTGATCATTTTCTTTATATGTTAAAGTGTTTGTGATTTTTGTAAACACAAAACATCCAAGAAAACATCTTTATTTAAAAAAAAAACTTGACAGAAGACACAATTTTACCCAATTTGTTGCATAACTGGCTGATTTTCTTAACCAAAGTGAAACAGGAAGTGACATCAAATGGGATGTTGTTGGTCATTTTAGCAATCCTCTGTTCATATGTAGACATTCCCCTTTGTCATCACTTCCTGTTACGGTTAATACATAACATATAATTAATTTTCCTGGGTGCTTCATTTGTTATATTACATTTGAGACAATTTTTTTTCTATCTCAATGCATATTAACTAAGATTGGCACATGGCTTGGACAAATGTTTTAATTTTAGCCCCCTTATGTAACTCAGTTTGACACCCCTGACAAAGTATGATAGTGTATTTCAGAAAGGAGGGCCTGATGTTTTTAATAATAAATGTGTCAGGGCTATTTAAGTGTTTGGTTCTTCTGCTGGAGAAATCAGAAGAGATCTGAAACCACAGCTGCCTACATCACAGGCTGGGGGGGTTGTGTCACCTCAACTTTGTTGCGTGGGTTGGAAGGAAACTCAGATGACATAACATCTAAAAAGTCTGCAATGATTTGCAGGACTGCACGTTTATAATGCAATAATAATAATAATCATAATGATGATGATAATAATAATACTCACCCTCAAAGCTGCGAGGTCTATGTCATCCAGGCTTCGTGTGGGGGCGTTTTCAGACATAACTTAGCCAACAAGTTAGCCAGATTTTTACACAAAAAATGAGCTGTTTTTTAAGGGAGGAGAAGTGACTATTTCAGGAGGTTATAGTTGTTTTCAAATAAACTGAAGCTGCAGCAGATTAGATTAGCAAACCCATCGCAACCAGCCGCCACAGACGCACCCAAGCTCGGCTTAGTTCCACGTCAACTCCGGCCGAAAGCTCCGATGTTATCCGCAGTAGTTTAAAGAAATACAATAAAATAAAAATAACAAAAAAAAAATGTCTGCTGTAGATTTGGATCAGAACAATCAAATCCAGATAAAATGTTTCAATGAAGTGTCACTGGTCGGCCATTATCTAACAAGTGTCGGGTTTTAAATGCGGTGCACCTTTACTGTTGTTGAACACCTTGCTGCGMTCATTTCGACATTTTACGTCGAACATCCCCGAAAATAACCGATTTAACTCGCATTCCGGAGAAATGTCAATATATAAAAACACTAAGCAGCTTTAATGTCCCGCTGGAGCATTCTTAAATGTGCTGATGACACTGGAAAACGAAAAAAAAAAAAGCAACGATGTCTTTTTTTTTATTTTAGGAAGAACGCAACGTCTGAAGTGATGGCGTCCGGGTCCGTCTGCACCAGAACCGACCGTCAGCCCGTCATTATATCAGCCTTGTAATATTTTTTTTGGTCCTTATTCTTAAATAAACGCGTTTGAAACGGAGCCTCCGCCGCTGCTAGTTGTCAAAACTTGTTCCCACGATTTACAACAAAATCCATCCGCAGCTTAAAGTAATCACAGCAAACCGATTTCAGGTGCGTGCGTTTTTAACCTATCGTTCACGCGTTTTAGCTGGCGTGGCGACGCTAAAAGGCTAAAATGTTGTTTTACAGAAAATAAACATTAAAACTTTCCCTCTTGGTCCATTTTCCGATGTTGACAGTCGCGCCTAGCACCGCCAGGCTTCCGGGGAAAACACGGACGGGCACAGTTATGGTCACGATATCCACCCGAGCGCCGCAAGGGCTGGAAATGTCTGCTCGAAGCTCTGCGGTCCAGCTCCGGCGTCCCGTTTTTATATTTCAAATCTGTAGTCCACAACACAGCGACATATGGTGCAGTTTCTACCTGCTAAGACCGAAACTTGTTATTTCGCCATGTTTTGCCTCCCCAAGTCCTCCWATATGGCAAGCCATTGTGTCATATATTAGTTGGTGGGCGGACTCTTCAAAGCAAAAACCTATAATTAAAATCGCCTGTTATTCAACTGAGGGCTCGGGGGTCACAAACGGCTCGCCGATGAGCTCACGCCGGACCAACAATGACTCGATTAAAATGTTCATGTCTGCACCACTCATGTAAAAGATTTGTCAAATTGGTGCAAAAATCCAAGACTTCAACRCTGACTGCTAAATTGATGATAAAACGTGTTATAAAAACCATCATTGATTGAACTGTTAAATTTAAAATAAGTAAAGCAGAAACGAAAACTAGAAAAGACTAGGAAAGCATGGCTAAATTCTGAAATTAGCAAAACTGTTGCAAAACTGGCTAGACCAGTGGTTCCCAAACTTTTTATCTTCTGACCCACAAAATATCCATGGCAAAAACTTGTGACCCCAAATATTACTGGTCTGAGTACACAAACTTTGTTAATAACCCTAAAAACACAGGCTTTTTGACAATCTAAACAGGTTGTACACAAATATATATATACTTATTTATAC